CAGAGAGCTGCTGGATCATTCCAGATGAGAATTCCCTTACATGGAGGTTAACTAGTATAATCAGTGTCTGTGCTACCCTCCTGCAGACTCTGGCTCAAAGGGGGATTATGAGGATGGAAGGTGGAATTTCAGGGCATTACTACAGCTGGCTGGTTGCCCCTGGCAGGATATATTCAACATGAATGAAATAGAGAACCCTCAAGTTTGCTCTAATTTGTGGTGGGATTGAAGCCATTGTATAAATGGCTCAGGAAATGGGAGATTCCTTTGCGGGCTTCATTGTTTGTTGTACCCAGCAAGCAATAAACCCAGGTCAAGACATGCAATCGTGGAATAATTCTATTTCCAGTTTTCTGGGTAAATTTGGTTCTCAAAATCCTGGCTATGATCATGGCAGAGGGCAAATGGCTAAAGCTCCACTCGGACAAGACTGAAGTGGTGATGGTGCACTGGGGAAAGCAGCAGTAAATGGCAGAGATTGGATGAGTCTCCCTGAAGGAATATGTCTTTTGTTAGTTTCTAATTTTATGCCATATAGGGCTGATTCTAGAACCCCCATTTCTGCTTGACAGTCATAAATTGGAATAAATTGCCAAGGGAGGTGGTGGAATCGCCCTCTCTGGAGATATTTAAGAACAGGTTAGATAGACATCTGTCAGGGATGGTGTAGACGGAGCTTGGTCCTGCCATGAGGGCGGGGGGCTGGACTCGATGACCTCTTGAGGTCCCTTCCAGTCCTATGATTCTATGATTCATATTACAGGAATGACCCAACTAACTTTATAACATCTGCATCTGGTTTGGAGGCTGCAGTCTTTCCTCTGCAGTATGGACCCATGTGACCATTATCTGGGCTTTTGTTATTAGCTAAAGGTTAGGACAGTTGCAGTGCATTCTACCGGGGGCTGCACCTTAAAACCATTTAGAGACTAAAGCCGGTGCAGAACATAGCAAATCGCTGGCTGAGTGGGTCATTGTGCTGGGAGCGCATGACACTGGTGCTCTGGGATCTACACTGGCTCCCCATTGGTCTCTGGGTAGAGTTTAGCTCAGGGATGGGCAACATTTTTTGAATTGGCCCTGGACCAGGCTGGAAGGGGCGGGGCCAGAATGCTTCTGGGCTTCCCCACCCCCAGACCATAATTGGCCTGGGGGTGGAGGAGCCCCTTTGCCCCCATTTCCCACTAGGTACCCATGCCCCTGGCAAGGCGGGAAGAGGCTTCACACGCTCCCCCGCCCCCAGGCTCTGATTGGCCTGGGGGCAGGGGAAGCCTCCTCCCGCCCTGCAAGCAGCGCGTGGCACTTTGAAGTGCTGCACACTCCTCGCAGGACCGGGAACAGGACGAAGGAAGCTTCACGCAGCTCCTCTGTCCCCAGGCCCTGATTGGCCTGGGGGTGGAGGGAGTGTACGAAGCCTCCTCCCACACTGCAAGGAGCACACGGCACTTCAAAGTGCCACACGCTGCTTGCAGGGTGGGAGGAGACATAAAGCGCTCACCTGCTCCCAAGCCCTGACTGGCCTGGGGGCGGAGGAGCTGCATGAAGCTTCCTTCATCCTGTCCCGGTCCTGCTTCGGCCGGACTGGTCAGGGCCCACCTCACTGTGGCATGGGCAGAGTGTTGCTCCCTGTGCCCATTGCACTGTGCTGTGGGCAGGGGGCTGCTGTGGCTAAGCTGGGTGCTGTTTAACCAGTTATCTATTTACATCTCTAGTCAGTACAGCAATTACTTATGCCCAAAGTAGGGACACATACTGATCTATCTTTCTGATAAATTTTATGAATCCCAAAATTTCAAGGTCATGAATTTAGACTATACCATGAGAGATCCCAATTTCTGAGATGCCTCTAAACGGGTAATTTTGCCTACACTACTATGATACACATGCAGTTTGCTTTAGCTGTTTTAAAACAAAGGGCCTGCTTCTCAGGACATGCCATTCAAATAAAAATAAGCCTACATTTTGTATGTCATATTTGATATCTAAATAAATACCAACTAGATTTCCCCCAAGACTTTATCAGCATCTGGTCTGTGGATTATAAAAAAAGGCTTTAGTGAATATCACTGCTAAGTGCCTTAATTTGAACAGTCACACTCAATAAACAAGAAAGCCAGAATTATCCAAAAATCACAATTTAACTGACACAAAATGTATTTTATGATATGGAGTTAGATGAAACCACTTGACGATAACGTTTATGTCTCTGATCAAAAGACTGGAGAAGTCAAGGCCTTAGACTCTTTATTGTGCTACTGAAAGCACAAGTAATCCCTTCTCTATTCAGCAGTGGTCTTAAATGTATACTTAAGGCTCACTGACTTCAGTGGGAACTATTCAAGTTCTTAAGTGCTTTACAAAATTGGGACATAAGTTCTGTGCTGAATCTGGGCCTTATGCTCTGTGTTAGGGGATTGGCTACTGTCAATCTTAGTATTTCACAGAATCCTAGACATTGGATGTGGAAACTTGCAGAAGTCTCATATTCCATCATCCTGCTTATTTCTAGAGCCATTTGTTTTTTTTTCTTTTTGCAAATGTGAAATAACACAAAATAAAACCAAAAAGATTGTGTAAAAAGCTATAAAATAAGAAACTCATCCTGCAGTTGGTGTCCCCTATCCCATGAGTCTGGCTCCCCACTCCATGTGTAACAACCTGGCCTACAGGATCACGGTGCTGCTCAGGTTTGGCCCCATCCACTCCTCCATCATCATGATGGGGATGCTGTCAAGCCAAGCTTGAGCCATGCTGTGACCCCATGGGCCAAGTCACAACACCCAGAGCGGGGAGCTGGGAGCCAGGCCCAGCTCCAGCCCCATGAAACTGGGGAGTAAGTGAGACAGGCTCACTATCCATTACCATAGGGCAGGACCCCACTCCACCCTAGAGTTTCCACTTTCCCTCGGGCAGAATGACATGAAATAACAGAAAAATTCCCAATTTTTTTTTGTAAAGTAAAGAATTTCACAGCACCTCCACGGGCTGGATCCAGCCCGCCAAACCGGTGGATCCGGTCTTTGGCCACTGCTGCTCTCTCACTCCCAAGCAAATTGAGACCTGGGAAGGGGGGAACATGCAAAGTCTCCTTACCCCACCAGGGGCACACAGCACCAGAGGGAATTGCAGGCTGTTTTAAAAGAGCCAGTGGATCTCTCTAGCCGCCGCACGCCCCTTCCAGGGTGGGAAAAGGGGGCAAGAGACTTCGCATGCTCCCCCCAGGCCCTGATTGACTTGGGGGCAGGGTAAATGCTCAAAGTCTCCTCCCGCTGCAGCATCTAGAGGGAACTGCCAGCTGGCGATTCTCTATAGGGCTGTCTCTACACTGGGCCACTTATTCCGGAAAATCAGCCGCTTTTACGGAATAAGCTGTGAGCTGTCTACACTGGCCCTTGAATTTCCGGAAAAGCAACGATGCTCTACTGTACAAAATCAGCCGCTATTCCGGAAAAACTATTCTGCTCCCACTTGGGCATAAGTTCTTATTCCGGAACACTGTTCCGGAAAAGGGCCAGTGTAGACAGCCCAGTAGTCTTTTCCGGAAAAAAGCCCCGATCGCGAAAATGGCGATCGGGGCTCTTTTCCGGAAAAGCGCATCTACATTGGCCACAGACGCTTTTCTGGAAAAAGGGCTTTTCCGGAAAAGCAGCCTGCCAATGTAGATGCTCCTTTTCTGGAAAAACTGAAAACGGAATAGTATTCCGTTTTTAGCATTTCCGGAAATTCATGCCAGTGTAGACACAGCCTAGGTGTGGGGGTGGGGGGCAAAAACTTCACACGCTCCCCCACCTCCAGGCTAATTAGAATCTGTGGGTAGGGGAGCACAGGAAATGTACGAAGTGGCCCCCTTTTAAAAATTATTGCTCACCCTTGCTATAGACTCTTCCATTGCCTGAGAGATCTCACTTATATTTTGCCTAGATTTTCTATTTCATGATTTCATCCCATTGCTCCTGGCCATCCTCTTTGTGCCCCAAATGATAACTCATCCTGCTTGGGGATTGCACTAGTAAGATCCTTGCAGCCATTTATCACATTCCTTCCACCCTCTTAGTTGTTGTGGATACATACAAAGTTCTTTATATCTTCAGAAATCAACCTCCTCAGACCCTATATTTATGGTTTCGATCTAAGTTCCAAAACTACATAGCTGTATATTAACAGGACCCAGAGAAGGACTGAGACAGCCCTATTGGAAAAACAAAACGATACATTTTAGACTTCCCTTTTTAATCTTTGTCTCTCTCTTGCTGCCTCCACCTACTACCTAATCTTTCTTGAACTCTCTTCTCCGCGTTGAGTCTCATTGGATGTGAGTATCCTTGTTACAATCCTGTAAATTCTAAATCCCCCTATACACTGAGCAATATTTACTCAGCGTTTATGTTTAAAAGTCTGACTATGAGACCTTCAATTTGGAAGAAGGTGGTGAGTTATGTCCCTTTCTTTTTGAATGCTCAGGAAGTGTATGTTGGCAAGGAGACCCTATGTACAATTGATGGCCTTCATTTCAACAGTACCTACAATGCAAGAGTCAAAGCTTTTAATTCTTCAGGAGTTGGCCCTTACAGCAAGACAGTTGTTTTACAGACGTCTGATGGTGAGTTTGTTTTATATCATTAAAAAATCGAGCGCTCTGGTTCCTAGCAGCCAGATGTTCACATTCCATGACATCCACCAATATACTTGGTGTTATGAGTTTTGATCACCTTCACAAAGGGGCCAGGGTGGATCGAGTGCAGACTGAGCTTCCCTCTCGGTCCTGTGACTGCAGGTCAGGATTGATGTATGCTAGTGGCACAGTATGGGGATGCCCCCACTCATAGCTTCTATTCTTCCACAGAAGGAGCAGCAATCAGAATTGCTTTAGAAGACCTTGGCCTCGGTGAATGTACATGTGATTTCTCTGTGCACACTTTCCAGCAGTAGTTTGTGTGTGCAGTTGTGGAGTCTGGCTATGAGCCGGTCTTAGGGGCGGTCGCTTGGGGCCACCATTTTCAAGGGGCTGCCAACAGAGCCCGTCTTAGGGGTAGGCCGCAACCACATTTTGGCCCATCTTCCCAAATCCTCCCTCCAGGTTTCCCTGGTTACTCCCTGACTCCCTGCCCCCCCCCTTTTTTTGGCTTGACAAATTTTTGTTCGGTATCACCCTATGTGGGTGAGCCAGACGGTCGCCCGGGGCCACCAATTGGTTAGGATCAGCCCTGAGTCTGACACTTGCATATAGTCTTAGAATCTGTTGGATACATGCACCGGATTTAATGTTGGAAAAGTACTTGTGCAGCTGTCGCTGCATGTAGTTGGCAGCTATGTTGTTCCCGCACTGAAAATCCATCCTGCAGTCTCTGAGGCTGTCTGTCCCATCCTTTCCCCATCCCAAATACTCAGAAATGATAAAAGAAAAAACAAAATCCAGCTCTTTAGACTTTTGGCATGTGCTATTTATTGACAGCTTTCCACGTTTCAAAATCTACATGTGCATTTGCCTGTCGAGGCTTTGGGTTTAATTAAAATAATTGTGTTTGATCTAGAGTTCATAGTCATTTATACCACTATGTGCCACTCTGTCTCTCTGTGTGTCTCTGATGTTTCTGTGTTTTCTTCACTGCTGATACTAATTTCAGAAGAGGGCTTGATAAGAGCTGGGTGGTAATTCATGCAGTGTTCCCATGTAATTACACTTGACATCCATATGGGCACCACAAGAAGTTCATCTGGATTAATAATGCTGTAGTAAATACTATAAATGCTCTGTATTTATAGAGTGTTAAGATATTTAGATGTAAAGATTTTTTTTAAAAGAAGCCAATGACACCCAGTTATAATGAACTTGCCCACCACATGAAATAGTATTTCCAGTAGAGACAGGCCTGAACCAAATCCCATATCGGAATAGCCCCAGACTTCAGAGAAGTCCATAACCAAGTTGGTCGTCTTCCTTATTTGTGCAGCACCAGTGATTTGCTCTATAACATACAGACCCAAACAGAGACATTCACTGCCACAGGAAGCTTACACCCTAAAAGGCAGGTCCAGATAGGAGAAATTATATTGGCTGGCTTACAGTTACGTGCATTTTTACCCAAAGAGATTGAAAATGCCTTGCAAATTTTACTGATTATGCAAATTGCATAAATGGTTCTTACGTTTCTCCAAACTGAAATGCAGTTGCCTATGAAATGAAACAGTGCACAGTGCAGTAGTCTAGAACCAGTGTCGGCAACCTTTCAGAAGTGACGTGCCAAGATTTAACTTTCCTCATCCCCCTCAGGGCAAGCCCTGCCCCTTCCCATCCTGCCCCTGTATCCTTCTTCACTCCCCTCCTGCTCTGATATCCCTGTGCCCCCAATGCACACACAAGTAGGGCAGCAGCACTGGGACTCGCAGCGCTGGGGCAAGGAGGAGGGGGCGGGGGAGGGCACAGTCACTTCCATGCCTGGATCAGCCCTTTGCCCGGGGCTCATCCCTTATCTGCAGGCTGTAGCTCTGGGCCCCAGACCAGCCAGCATGTGACCAGCCCCGCCCCTGTAGTGGGGGTAGGAGGGTGCTTAAACCCTTAGTTCCTGGGGGCTGCATGCCCCAGGGATGCAGAGCTCAGTGCAGGGTCATGCCGCCCACTCTGCTTGCTGTGCATGCCACAAAAAATCATCTAGCGCACAAGATGCCATACATTGCCAACCCCTGGTTTAGAATAACATGGGAAGAATATCTCCTCCACTTAAAAGTATGGTGAGAATTTAGAAGGGCAGAAACTGATATGAAATAGAGCAAAATTATGTTTTATTGTATCCTTTCCTACTATTAAGTTGCCTTTATTCTTTCTGCACAGTGGCCTGGTTCACCTTCGACCCCTCTTCGGCCCATCGGGACATAGTCCTGTCAAATGACAACCAGACTGCCACCTGTAGTAGTTACGATGATCGTGTTGTTCTGGGCACGGCAGCCTTCTCCAAGGGAGTACATTACTGGGAATTGCATGTGGATCGTTATGATAACCATCCAGATCCGGCTTTTGGAATAGCTAGAATTAACGTGGTCAAGGACATGATGCTAGGGAAGGACGACAAGGCATGGGCTATGTATGTTGATAACAACCGCAGCTGGTTCATGCATTGCAATTCTCATACAAGTCGGTAAGCTCCGATTATGGACTTTTCTTGTGGCTTGATTTTTTTTCATTTTAAGGAGAGTACATTTTAAAAAGAGTCTGCATTCCTTTTCACGGAAGCAGTGGGGGATGGCAATTTCATTCTATTCACCAGGGTTCTTTGTGATCACAGGGCAGTACAAGAAACCCTAGCCCAAATTACTGTTTGTTTATCATGAAGATGTTTACTGGCAGTCCTGAAAGCTGATTAAAGCTAGTATTAGGCAATGCCCAGGGGTGATTTGAGGGCAAGGACAGAGGAGGGTATGCTGCACACTGATGAACAGTGACCAGATTGCCTTGTTAAATAGAGATATTGACAGGCTTTGCAAAGAATCCCATTCTGTCTTCTTCATCTAGGGGATTAATGATAGCAATGGGAGGTTGCTAGAAGTGGAAGCACAAAGCGAAAAAAATTGGGGGAAGGTCCTTATCTGGGATTTGCACAGTTGGGGGCTGAAGTTAGGTTAAGGCTCAAATACCTGACTCCACTTCCTATCACTGTGAAGATCTGTATTTATGTATTCCACATCCTGGTTTTATCAGGAGCATTGTCCCAACATCAGCCAGTTTGTAACAGCCAATATCAAAATACTACAGTTCCTGGAAATATGTGCCTTCTGAAATGGGAGCTTGGTTGCGAGGTATACTGTGCAGTTGAAATAGGGGTTGTTATCAGAAGTGCAGGTAACCAAATAAGAATAATTAAGACTTACACTTGAAGTCAACAGAGATTCATGGGGGTTGAATTTTGGTCCAGGAGTATCAGATAACTCAGAAGTGCTATGACAGTTCATGTATGTTGTGTTAGCCAAAACTGAAGACACTACTCAGTCATGACTCCCAAGAAATATTTCTGCATTGCGTGATCAAGGCTCACCATTCATGTCATGATGTTTAGTTTGACTGAATTGCTGAATGACACTGTTTTTCCTAGAAGCATGGAATCAAAGGAGTGGCTTTGAATCAGGCCCTAAGCCAATAATAGAATAAAATAACAAAAAACGTGTTAAATATATTAAAATATATTTGTCCTTGTAATGCCTTGATTGGATTAATGGCAAAAGTAATTGTAATCAGTACAAAAATTACTAGTGCTTCATGAAATAGCTGATACTTTTTGAAAAAAGGCTGGCAAATAGTCTGTGTGATAGTATCCTAGAAACCTATTTCATGGATTCAGTCCTTGGAGTGTTGTTACAAGCCAGCACTCTGTGTTGCTTGGCAGCTCAAGAGCTTAGTAAAACCTTTCTTTACACAGATAACAAATAATGGACATGTTTTGGCTTTCTGATTGCTCTGCCAAAATGAGAGAAAAAAACGCAGCTTCCATGGATGCTGAATTGCCAGCTGTTACAGGAATATCTTAAAAAGGGACAGACCAATAGAATATTCACTAGAGTGCAGCACAACTGTGGAGTGCATATTTTTTTCATGAACTCACATGCACTTTAACAGTATTAGTGCTGAGCATTATATTTTTAACTGTGGCAACCAAGTAGGTCAGTTTGTTAACCCACTAGATTCAATAGTTTTTTAAAAACAGCTAAATCTGCTTAACTATCACTCCCCAATGAAAATAGAAATATACTGAGCTATCATATATTTCATAAATATGTTAAAAACTGAGGTTTTCAGATACTATGGTAATTGAGCCATTATAATTAAAGATATGTAGATACCAATTGTTTCCGTTTTCACAGATTTTATAGGAAGGTATTAGACTGTTAGATAAATGAGTGAGTATGAAAATAGTTAAAAGTCCTAATTATGGAATTTGCTAAATTCCTCTAGAAATAGATAGCACCATCCACTCACATTGACTCAGCATCTTGCATTACTAGGGCCCAGAACAACGAGAAAAAAAATGGAAGATAGCTGATTCATTTTCAGTAGCTGTAGCAGAGCAGGGAATCAGCTTTTCATAAACCAAAGGAAGCACACAAAAAAGGGGCATGAAAAATTTAGGCAAGCAAATATCAATTCATATTTGTTAATTACTGGGAGTAAGTACACAGAGGCACCTGGTGTGCCACATGCCTGTTGTGTAGAGCAGCTGGAGTTCATTGCAATGGAGCTGTCCTCCCCACTCCACCCCGGCAAGATTACCAAATAGAGGAATGTCTAGATTGCAATGCATATAAAATGTCAACCCTTTATATCAAATTGCAAAGAAGAAAAACTAAAATGAGTTTGTGGAGCACCATAAAAATAAATAACCATCAGAAGGGAAAAGTCTCATTTTGAGAACTTGGGACACAGTCCACTGAAATCCATAGGAATCCCTACATTGATTTAAGTGGGCTTTTCTCAGGCTGTTGAAGAAGCCAAATAGGTCTGAAAAGAATCACTCTTCCCATTAGAAATCAGAAAATATTCACATTATAATAGGGTAGGTTTATAAGACACATCTCCACTTCATTGTTAAATCAATTGTTACAGTAAGCTTTTGCTTATTGGATAGTCGACACTGGTCGACTAGTCGCTCCTCCCTCCCTTGCTGCCTCTATCAGAAAGAGGCAGCAAGGGGGGGGGAGGGGAGGAGAGGAGAGAACGTGCTGTGGAGATCTGGCTTAAAAGCCAGTTCCCCCCAGCTCCGGCTCCGTGGGAGGGGACAAGGGTGCAGTGGTGGCCTTCCACCTTTGAAATGTACAAGAGTCCCCGCTGACCTGGGCTCCATGTGGTGTTTCAGTCTTTGAAATGTGCAAGAGCTCCTGCTGGCCCCAGGCTCCATGTAGCATTTCTGTCTTTGAAATGCACAAGATTATTGGGGCTCTTGTATATTTCAAAGGTGGAACGCTGCATGACACTTCCACCTTTGAAATGTAGCAACAGCTGGGGTGGGCTCTTGCTATGTTTCAAAGTTGAAGTGCCCTTATTGACTAATTGAATAGTCGTGGAAATTCCATTGACTATTTGATTAGTTGATTAATCTAATTTTAACATCCCTAGTGTAGATGCTCCCAATTTCGAAATAAGATATTTCAAAATGAGCTACGCAATTGACATAGCTTAATTTGCATAGCTTATTTTGAGTTAAACGCTGCTGTGTAGACGCACTCCAGTGGCAGACTCCAATTAGAGACAACAGCATTATTCATGGAGGGCCGATTCCTCCATCTTTACTCAGAAGTAGTAGTGCCTTCTGGGGTTATTCATAGAGTAAGGTAATACTCAGTGGTCTTAAGCCTGCAAACACTCATATGTACATTTTAGCTGATACACGTGAACAAATAAACCAACAGGAACAGAGTCAATGTGAGTAAGGGTGGCAGAATTGGGACTTAAATGGAAATGATGAAAAATTGGTGCATATCTCTACAAAGGAAGATTCTCATCCAATAAATATTTATTTAATTGCCTAAAGAAGTGTAACAAATTGCTACTGTTTCTGTTTAAATAGTCAAGCAGATTAAGACACTAAGTGGCTTCATGTATAATTTAACATGATTATCACTGATATATTTAAAATTAGTATGGAGTTATAAAAAGGAATTACATTAGAACTGTTAGCTGGTCTTCTTGAAAATTAGATCAACCTCGTTAGTTTGTATGTGAAAGCTGCTTAACAAGAAACATTTTGGCTGGGGCTGCTTTAATGAAAAGGCATGGTAGTTCTGCCATATGTGTTATTTAAAGCCATAATTACATGAGTTCAGAGTCTGTTTTGCCAACCGGTTTCTAATTTATATCGAAAGCATTCAATCAGAAAAAAACCTCCTAAGTGTTAAAGCTGCAAAATAAAGCACTCAGAAATCAGGATATGCCTTGGTAAAATGTGTGCATGCAGCTTTTACTTTCCCACCTTGCCCCATCATTTCAGTGTCTGTGAGATTGGTCCTAAAAGCAGTGGACCACTAAGAGATGTGTAGCTTAATGAAAGGGATGATCTGCACTGAGACCTTTTGCCTTTGAAGTATTTTCCTCTCCCCTGCAGCCCCCAGCCATTGTGGTAGAGAATCTTCTCTCTGCATTTTGCCTCTGTAACAAACCCAGATAAATTGTTCCAAATTGTTCTGTCAATGCTGACAGAAGAGCATTAGTAACTCACCTGCTCAAAACTTGTGGTTTGGTGGGTGAATGTTGCTGGAGTGTGGCTATCCCTCCAACTTTGCCTCTTCCCATAGGATAGACCATAATCCCATGAAAGGGTTTTAGTTCAGTTGAAGGATGGGGGAACATTACTACAGAGGCAGCACTATGCATGTCCAGCCTGCAAGCAGAGATGTGCTGGGCTTTCAGACATTTGCTTAGCCTGTGGAGGTGTAGGGACCTGTGACTCTGGATACATCTACGCTGCATGGCTATTTCGGGATACTGGAGGTATCCCGAAATAGCTACCCCGCGTCTACACAAGTCGCCCATTATTTTGAAATATTTTTAAAAATAATGGGCATGCTATTTTCCCATTCCAGTAAGCCTCGTTGCACGAGGGATAAGGGATGGCTCAAAATAGCACGTTATTTTGAAATTTGGCATTGTGTAGATGCGCCAAATTTCAAAATAAGCCGTTTCGAAATAAGATATGCAATTTGTATAATGCAAATTGTGTTTCTTGTCTTGATGGTGGCCTCTAGTTCTAGTAAGTTGTACATCTCAGAGAATTTGCTAATTTCACTTGATATTTAACCCACAGGTTCTCAACCTTTTTCTTTAAAGGGCCTCTCCCTCCCAACATGCTATGAAAACTCCATGGCCCACCTGTGCCACAAGAACTCTTTTCTGCACTTAAAAGCCAGGAGCAATGTTAGTGGGTAGCCAGCAGGGCAACTGCCTGGACCCCCATGCCTTAGGGGGGCCCTGTGAAGTTAAAGTTGCTCAGGCTTCAGCAGGGTGTTGGGGC